TCTGTTTCATTGACGATAAATTCGAATTGATGAATCGTCTGTTCTGGTTTCGACTGCGAAATGATCCTAAACTGTCTTGAACCGTCCCGAACCGTTCTTGCTCTCGAGACTGAACTGTTGGGATCTGTTGCCGTTGCTCATGCGTATTCATGTGGAAATTTGTCTGGGCTATTTTCTAGGATGTTTTTTTGTTTATTTGATTTGAATAATTGATGATTGAGGTTAGATAACATTTGAACTGACTATAAGGATACGTTACAAAACAAAATGAACATGATCAACAGTATTTTCTCGTCTTCATCTCTTCATATATATGATAGGTGGCACAGTAGTCTCCTCAAAATGAATTCTGATTTAACCGAATGTCCGAGACTATTTCGGANAAGGTGAATGTATAGCAATGGACTAGTGAATTGTGGAGTACATGTATTCTTCTATTGAATAGAAGCAATGATCAGTCAATGTTTTTTTAATTTTTTTTTAAAAAGATACATGCTGAGCTTTTTTAGGCCTTCATTAAGTTTATTGTACAAATTCAAGTTGGGAGAGTTGGAAAAAGACATTTTCAGTCTGAACCTGTTTGGCTCACCTGACTATTATTTCGGGTGGGATAGTTGTGGAAGTCTGAGTTCAAATTTAGATTTCCCCTATTTCTGTGCAATTCGATAAGGGTTTGATGTATATAGATGCAACAAAGTGGCATTATTCGATTTTTGATGAAAAGTGGCCTACAAGGTTGGTCGTAGCGCGTACCTTCAATTATTCTCAATGCCCTTTTTTGCAACTCGAATACTCTTGTTGCCTGACTATAATTTCCCCATAAAATGGTACCATAGCTTATATGCGAATGGAAGAGGGAGTGGTATGTAGTCAATAGCACATCTTTGTTCACAATATTTTTCACTTTACGCAGCAAAAACAGTTGGCTAGACAGTTTATTGCATAGATGTTTTATGTGGCTATTCCACTTTAATTCATCATCGAGAGTTATCCCCAGAAGTTTAGATGTGGATCCATTCGAAATGTTTTTATTAGACGAGAATATGATGTGCTGGGTCTTATCATTGTTCATATTGAGTTTATTTGTCGTAAACCACAGTTCTGCTCTAGAGGCAGTAGTCGTCATAAGTTCCTTGAGTACGACTATAATGGGAATTTATTAATGAAGTGTCGTCAGCAAATGCAATACACACATCCAGAAGCAAGTAATTAAATATATCATTGACAATGGCCCGAGTACGGATCCCTGTGGCACGCCATGATCTAGTACGAGTCCATAGCGTAGTAGTTCCGTTGACAGATACCACTTGTTGACGGTTGGTTAAATAGGACTTTACGAGATTCAGTGGAGTTTCTCTTACCCCATAGTGCTCGAGCTTTGCCAGCAGCAGCTCATGTGAGACACAGTCAAACGCCTTAGATAAGTCACAGAGTGTGAGGCCTGTTAACTTCCCAGGTTTGTTCAAAAAATAAGGTGGATGTTCAAATTTCGCGGGCTAAGTACATTCTATTAACGATTTTTTTTGGTTGGTACACTCGTTTCGAACATATGTTCACAGTTTCAACTGTTCAATATGTTCAATTTGTTGGTGAGAGGCATAAAAGTTGGAGCGAAGTTCATTCCAAAATTGCTGAATTTTGATAAAAAATAATAAAATCGTTGCATGAGCATCGCTCAGGAATTCTTGAATGACGTCAACGGAGATCCGTATTTTATTAATAGGATCACAGTTAAGTTCAATCAAATGTCAAAGGTTTGCTCGATAATCGTGACGTAGTGCGTCAGTTCTTGCCTCACTATCGTATGGTCAATAAGGAGTATTATCTTGAAGTTTTGCGCCGTTTATGAGAAGAAAACGTCCGGTATTGTGGAAAAACAATTCATGGCCTTTGCAGCCACCGTATTCACCAGATTTGCTACCTGCGACTTTTCCCTATTCCGAAGATTGAAGAGATCCATGAAAAGACGGCGTTTTGCGACGATTGAAGAAATAAAACCGAATCGCTGGAAGGGCCCAAAGACATACCAAAAAGTGCATATCAGAACTGCTTCGAGAATGACTATTTTGAAGAGAACAGACCTCGTATTCTGTTCCCATCTAATGTATAGAATCATCACATATTTGTAATGTCACTTCAAAAACCTTACAGCATGAACTACTTTTTTATTAACGGTTAGCTGCATTACTTAAAAAGCAAAAAACAATCATGCAATCTCCTCATACAGGGAGAGACATGAAACTTGAAATGAAAATAATTTCTGAAAATACGGGGATATTTCAAACTGTACCAGTTAGTGCACGTGATCTCCCAGACGAGGCTGCTTGTACAGAGTCGCACTAAGGAACAACCGATTTTTTTTATTATATACGGCTTCATTTAACTACATAATATAAGGTAATAAGCTTGAGGTCAGTTTAGAAGATGCTCGAAATCGTTGCCTTGAACTTCTTGACATATGAACAGCCTATCCGATATTTCACGCCGAACATTTTCGAACACAGAACGTCAATATCTCTACAAATATTCATTATCCTCTGCCGTATCTCCAATAATAATAAACATGTTCAGTTCAGTACACATTTTGCTTCAAATAGCCCCATAAAAATAGTCCAAAGGTGTCAAATCTGGCGAGCGGGCTGGCCATTCTGTAGGACCTCGACGGCCAATCCAACGACCGGGAAAAGTAGTATTCAAATAGTTTCTTACTTGTCTGGAGTAATTTGGTGGTGCTCCATCTTGTTGGAATACAATATCCATATCGTATTAATTAGGATTCGCTTCGACGATTTTAGTGATGAGAGGGTCAACAGTAGTTTCCAGCATATTCAAATATAGTTCCCCTGTTAAATTTTGATCAATAAATAGAGGTCCTACAATATGGTTTCCCAATATTGATAGATTGTTGAGGTGATACCTTTCTACTAGTAAAACCGAAAACTAAATGAGAGTATTCTAACTGAACAATGATGTTCATTGTCGTAGTGATATTTGTTGTCGTTTTTATAAACAAAAAATAAAACAAACCTTATCAGGTCTGTTGGAATTGCCATTTAATTTTTTTTCCCCAAGATGGTGTCCAGTCGCCATCTTGAAAGTTTCATCTGTCAATTTCACTTCAAAATAAAGTATTCACTAATTTCATTATCCCAAATTTCAATTTTTTGAGTTGACCGGTTCAAAAAATAAAAGGGGGGGGCATTAAATAAATGCACTGTATGTACTCACCACAGGTATTAAAATGTATTGGTATACCTGAATAAATTCTGCAAGCCGATGGCAGTTAAATCTGATTGGCCAGCGTAAGGAAGCTTATTCATTTCACCCAATAGAAATAAATGTGCGTGGTGATCAGGCATCATATCATTGTTTGGTTTACTTAATTCGTTGGATGGACAGAGTTTATTACTATATGCCACATCAGACAACTTAAAAAAGTGTTTTGCCAGATGATATTCATCAGTATTCATTAGTTACTAAGACAGCTACCATGAATGTATGACCTAATCCAAAAACTTTCCATAATTCATCTACCAGGTGATATAAGGAATCAGTCAATAATATTTCAATGTCAAACAAAATTTTCTTAGTCAATCAATGTCACTGTCAAAAAATAAATGTCAGTCAATGTCAAGGTCAAAAAATTATTTACTGATTGATTGCAATTTGCCATTAGAAATATATCTTTTTTAAGAAACGTTATTGAAATTAATTTAGTTTCTGCTGCAATTGAAAAGTCGTTCTTCTCTCTTTCCTTCTGTTTTCATTTTCAAATCAAAACGTTTTTCGGTTTTTGTGAGTCTTGGAATCCTTAAATAAAAAAATTGTTTATTATTTGATTGATTGCAATTTCCCATTTGAAATATCTCATTCAAAAAGACGTTGTTGAAATTAATTTAGTTTCTGCTGCAATTGAAGATTCTCTTTTTCCCCTCTTTCCTTCTGCAGTAATCTTCGAACCAAAACGTTTTTCAGTTTTTGTGAACCTTGGAACCTCAAATTATTAGAATATTTTCAGGCAGTGCAGTGATACTATGTTACAGAGAGTTTACTCAAAATATATGCTTTATTTCACTTATTAGGTAATATAAGTCGAGATATAGGTACTGTCTTCAATTGTAACTTCAGTTGAGCCACAATTGGCGATACATTTCAGTGGCTTTTTTATTTTCAAAATATGATATTTACTACATCCATGATGAAGAAGGCAGGAACAATCACCGAAACATGGGCATTTGAAATTGTGAATTCCGGGCTAGTCAGGTATGGTAGAATGAAACCTAAAGTACCAAATGCACTCACTAATTTGGCTGTAGCACATGAGAAGGTTAGTAATCTACTCTACTTGACCACAGCTTTCCAGCCCGGATGTTGTTCTCTTCAACAGTGTAGTGATTTTTGAGTCTTTGAGTTCACTTGCTCTTGAGAATACTACCTACAATGTCTTTGGACGTGAGAAATACTGTCACAAATATGAATTTATGAAAAATATTCACATAACATTAATAATATGAAGTTTATTTATCATGAATAGACAAAACATGAAAACAGGATATCTCTAATCACAAATAAATATAGTAAACCACAAGGACTAATCTGCATGTGGTGTAAGACTTCAAATTACTTATTTTGTGCCCAAGTGAATATTGAAACACTAATTCTTGATTTTTTTTTGTTGAACATTCAGCAGTTCACTAAAAAGTTTTGGGCCTGGGAAAGTATATTGTTTATGTCCTAAATTTTCAACTATTTCTTGCACTATAGTCTTAGTTCTTTACCTCTGTTTGTTCAGCATATTCATATATAAAAATATGCCCCTCCAATTCAAATGTTTTATAATATGATGTACTTACTTGATTCATATGTTGTACTGATCTGAAGATTCAATTGATAATTATGAAAATACAACAAATAAACCACTTTAAGAGAAATGACACTTTCTTAACAGAAGATTTAATACAACTATGTACAATGTGTTTCGATTATTTATCAATACTCACTCTTCATCTTCTAAGAGACTCTCCGCCAACCACAAACGCAATCTAACAGTCTTCATCGATTGAAATGGAAACAACCTACACATTTCGTTCAAAAAAGTGTAATTCCAACAATACTGTGGATACATTTCACACTGGTTCCACAAGCGAGTATTATGAGTGAACAAATAAACGTGAGACATCCCATATTCCAAATAACTATATAAACTTGTATAATCACAGTTGAGTAATCTTCTGAGTGTCTGAAGTGCCGTTTCAGCATGGGGAGAGCCCCGAATCTGCATTATGCCGTACTCCAGCAGGGGTTCGTAGTGATAGTAGTTACCAGGCAGGGAGTTTATGATGTCTCCCAAAAAAGTAGACCCCGATCTCCATGTTGTTATGATAATGGTCCTAACTGGCTGGCCACCAGTGAATAATGTATAATCTTCGAGGTTATCTCCTTCGGGAAACTGGTAGTCATGCAATTCGCTAAGTAAAAGATTTCGTTGCATTGAGATCACATCTTGTATGGTTGGTGTCGGGACAGTAAAATTATTGGAGACTCTGAAGCTCTCTTCTAAATCAATCAGCTGTTGATATTTGGGAGATCTGCGATAGTTTGTCGTTTCTTTCTGACTGAAAGCTATCAGCAAGAGACATAATAGCGCGACTATGCTTATACCGAATATCTCATTTCTTCGAACCATTCTGCTACCGGGCTATCCCATAGTCTTATTTCTCTCCCACATTTGGAGTTAATAATTTCTATGGTTATTTCATCTCATAAAAAAATCTCGAAAATACCCCTTCGTTTTCATTACAAGTTGACGATTTTTTCTCGGCTACTCGCTACTATTCATTGAAGTTCAAGACATCCTAAAGATTGCAGGTATTTATGCACCAAAATACCACCAATTCGACCCAACAACCCATCCGTATCCGTCAAAATTTGGAGGTTGGATTTGGCATTAATCAAAAACACAAAACACCAATTACTGAAAACCGCTTATCCGATGTTTCTGCTAACTTCACTATAATCACAACCCCGTTTCTTGTCATTTACACTGAAAAACCGTCTACTATGTACGTCCCAGAAAAATTGCATGGTTCATCCCCACCTCTTTGAAAAGGAATGTTGACATAGACAAAGAAGACATGGTTATATTGCCGGTAACGGCAAAACCTGAATTAAGCTATGAAACTTAGAGGACCTGGTTATTATGCTAATTTTATAAAGCTACTATAAGAGCCGTTATTTGGAACATAGGATTGGTAGATATGATAGCATTTGTAACTATGTTAGTGTTCACTGTTGTAGCCGATTACAGCTGCAGCAAACAACAAGAAATTTAAATTTTATGTGTTTTCAAGAATAAAAAATAAGATATTTTCTTCAAGTCAATTTACGTATAGGCTTGAATACCAAAAGATACATAAAATATCTTTTCCATCAATTAAAAAAGAGTGGAGTTTGAAATGGATTTTTTCGTTAACCAGCAAATGTCTCCTTACGATGTCAAAAGTCATCCAGGCATTTGTTTTCAGTAAACAATACAGGACATCAATTGACGCACAGAAATGCCATTGCCAGTTTAGTCAAAAATCCAGTACATCTTTTTTGGGGCTGAGATATAATTATTTTTTAAATAAGTGGACAAAAAACATCTGTTTCCGACATCTATGTTTGAATAGCAGAACCTTTTATGTTTTTGAATAGTAGATATTAGAAAATGGCAATCTACGTTGGTTTATTTCTTTTTGTAAGAGGATGTCGCTGTCCTTTTAAAATTCAAACGAATCTTTCTCTTCAAACGATGGCGATGGATTAAACGTTGCTTAAAGAGAAGGAATCACATTGAATAACGGTGTTAGTATTACAATGTAGTATATTTGAACCATTTTGTGATATAAATAACCTTGATTCAAGTAGTATAAGTTTTTATAAACATTCCTTGTAAACTCCTACAATATTTGAGTAGAGAATCTCAGCAACTGCCCCACAAAGTTGATGTTAGTTGCAGTATATTTGTTAGTATCATTTCAGTTCCTAACTCGATTGAAAAAAATCAACTAACTTATCACAATATGCTTCATGGGTCTGTAGAAATTCCCTCAGAGAAGTATTAATTGACTGACTGAGCGGATTTTACCTACAAAATAGAAATTGATGAAAGAATAAATACTATTTGAGAAAAATTAATATTTACCTTATTAAATTAAACTTATTAAACTAAAACAAAGTGACATGTTTTGAATAATAAACATGTAAACTACATCTTCTCAATATTTATTTGTTGGTTTGTTTATTTATCCTGTACATTATTTACAGAATATCACTCGTTGATATCTCATAGCAGATATTGGAAAAAATATAGAAGCATAGGTTTTTTATTACTTAGAACAAGTGATAAAATTACTAGATTCGGTTTAAAATTGTGAGTCACTCATCAGTCACAATTTCAAATTTATAAAAGTGTGTGGATTCAAATTCTTTTCCCTGATGAGCGAATAATCTCAAATGAATATGTACACACCTTGAATTTTCAGAACAACTACTATTTTGAAAATCTACTCATTTGGAACAACCAGACAAAAATGGGTTTTTGGAGAAGTATACACGAACAAATTACACACTTAGTTTGTGAAATGTTCTGAAGGAAGATATTCAGTAAAGTTAATATTTGTAGAATAATTAAAGTCTTACGTTGTTGAAAATGCATGTAGTTGCTACATAGAAAGCGAGAATCTAGTTTTGGCGTCTTGCTATTAAAAAGTGTGCATAAACTGTGAAATTTTAACGTCAGGTCAACTTTTTGTAAAGACATTTTCCTCAGTGACAGTATAGTATTGGATAGAAATGTCCGAGAATATATAGATTATACTTAGGTTGTAATACCTAGCAAAAGCTATGTGTGTTAATAATATATTCTAGCTTGGGGTATAGATATATAACTTTCAATTCAGAAATCAAACGAAGGTCCTTTGCCTCATTCAATGTAGCATCTCGACCAGCCGAGATGATGTTTACATAAATCCATCTGGGTGTTCTTGTGCCAGACGCACCGGCATGAAAAAACTTTCCTACTTATCGGAATTCAACTAAACGGGCAGATAAACATATCGGTACAAAACTTGAAATCTGTAGATTGCAAGTCAAGCAAAATATGGGTTTTCCATTAAACCAGTGGTGTTGGCAGTTTTTGGGGCAGTGTTCGGGGAATCTTTGCCTGAGTCAGTCGTGCGGAAAATTATTTGAAAGTAAGTCTTCCTGTACTAAGAGAAGGGTTCGCGAACTTGGGAGCTGGAAGAGTTCTCTTGACGGTCGGTTAAGAGCGATATTTTGTTTTGGGAGATAGTTTTCCTGAGTTGAATCTTTAAAAAGTTTGAATATTTGAAAACAAGCGATTAATGCGATTCTGGATAGTCTTTCATTCTGTCGTAAGAATAAAGAAATGTGTAAGATTCGAGCGGAAATCGAGCAGTAGTGCGAAAATTAAATCGGATAATAATTAAGTAGGCCGAAACCATGTATAAACGAGTTGTAAAATTTGAGGTGAAATTTTGATACGATATTTTTTTTGGTAATCTTCAGAGAAGAGCTAGGAAAAGGTAGCGGTGAATCAAATGAGATAGCTATAACAATCAGTATACAGACTGAACCTAATAATTGAGTCATAGTTATTTGGTGGTCAGAAATTATTGGCCAAGCTAGAGTATTTCGTCTCTTTCGTATATGATAGTACTTAATTTACGACGAAGGCACTAAATTTGAGTTTTATTTTCGAGATTTGGTTATTGTTATTTTCTTATTATTTTGGATTTTTTATTTGTCTATTTTGTTGTGTCATTTTCTTTATTTTTGATTATAGTAGTTCCAAGGAAAGCTGACTTTCATTTCAAAATCTAACAGAGTACCTTTTAGAAAAAAGTGATTGTGAATTATGAAGCTCTTTCTAACTGCTACCAAATACCCCGACTTCGTGGGGGGGCGAACTCAAGCCTCCATCGGAATTTCCTCAATATTCAAATTTTGATGAGGAGAAATCCTCATCTGGTGACAGCGGCTGAAATTTTATTTAAATATAACTAACACGGTAATAGCCAGAAGGTTACCATGGGATGATAGAAAGTTAATAACGTATTATTCCACTGGTGGCCCAACTATAAACCCGTACCTACGCACTTATGAAAACATTTGAATTTGTTTGAAGTTGAAAGTAAAGAACTGACTTTATAATTCACTGAAAGAGCGAGTGTCACTACTCCTGCATTTACCTCTCTCGCCCATGGCTAGTACACTCAGTGAGAGAATTCTGTCATCTTGTAATAAAAATCGTTCAACAATACGGTATTCCAAAATCAAAATCACCTTTTCTTGATATTTCTACCCCCCGAAACTCATAATTAGCTGTTGAAATATTTCACACTTCTTGATTGTTTATAAATTCAAATGCGAAGTATTCGAAATTACGTGTTTAAGGTCGGAATTATTCAAGAAACGTTATTGAGGGTGACTAAACCTACCCTCATCGGAGCCGAGTTCAACCCTGCCTAACGCTTCCTATTGGACAGTCCGGCGTCAAGCAACTAGCGACTGGCTCTGGCTCATTTCACACGAAGAACGAGATGGATTTCAAGCCGCTATCTTTGCCTATATCTGCGTTTACGTCCGGTTTGTGACTTTTATTTGTTTGTATTTTAGTGCTTCGCGATTCAACTAAATTTCGGGGTGTACTAAGGAACTATATATCGTATTACAAGGCTCTGAATCACGGTTAGTTGAAGATTTTTTCAGGACAAGAAAATGTATGTTTAATTAACTAGTTTGTGTATAAATATTGTGCTAGTTTCCCTGGAACAATTTTAGAAATATAGGCGAATGTGGTAAGATTTAATTTTTTTGGACCTGATTTATTCATTAATGGTGTTGTCAATTCATTGAATGATATATGATACTATGTTGAATCCACCCCTTCAAAGAGGTTAGGTAACGATTCTTAACAGATGATAGAAAAAAGGATATTACTTTCCAGATGTTTATTCATTCAATATTTGGGAAGGTAATTCTTTATTTTATTTTGGAACGAAACACTGCTATAGAACATAAAAACAGCTTCTTGAAAAACACAACTACAATTGTTTACTATTTTTTCAAATTCAAATTTTGATAAAACATTTTGATTGCTGAGTAGTCTACCGATTGCTTGTTTTATGAGAATATTTGAAATTGAAATTCACCAGATAGTTATCTATAGATAATGATGGACATGTAAATAAAGAAAGAGTAATACATATGTGTTGCAGTGATGCTACATGAATGAAGCTGAGTCCAGGGCTGTAAGAGATAAAAATGGCCCATGCACTTTATTTGGAATATATTTTTGCAGTTAGCAGATTTCTATGGAATTCAACACCTTTTGAGGTCATAGCTTGTTTTGTTGTAATGTATTGTCAAATTTTGCTCTCAATTTGATTTCAATTGAAGTAGAAGATTCCTATCCTAGGTTTTGCTGAAATGAATTTCAGGTTTAAATTGAAAGGAATATAATTTTAGGAGAAATACATTTTTGAGAACTGAGGATGTAAGTTAAATTTTATCTCTTTCATATACTATATTGTGTAGCAATTCTGTGAATGATATCTGATTCAATTACATAACGAATGTTTGGAGTACAAACTGAAAAGGGGAAAAATGTTTTTGTATAATTCAATGTCCGTGTAAAAGTAGTTGTTGTGGAAGAACTTTTTCTTTGGCGTAATTCAATGTTTATATGAAAGTACTTTTTTCGAGAGGGATGTTTCTTCCAAATGTGTGTCTGAAAGTAACTGCTATTCATAAAATTGATTGCTTTCTACTTTCCTTTGGTAGTTTCATACATTTTTTGTATGAAGTTGGAAAAGTAGAAAGCCAAAACATTCCTTTGGCAAACATTTTTGGTGTGTATAACGAGATGAATAAATTCAAGAAGACATATTGATAAAGAATTATTCCTATAACTTTTCTAACTTTTCTAGTATTCTGACAATTAAGGGAAAATTTGGAAAAACCAAAATTATTTCTCAGGATATTTCGAATACCAAAAATATGTGTTTCAAAAAATATGTTTTAAATATGTTTTTTCCGTT